GGCCTACATAACATTTAATTTTTCAAGTATTATTAAATGATTCAAGCATTTAGTGCAGCTAAACAGCTACTGTATTACTGAGCTAAATTATTTTTTTTTTAATTTTTGTTGCCAGAAACATATTATTCTTTTACACTGAAGAATCAAAGACATGTGCAGTTAAAATTCTTTAAAAAAGAGAGAGAGAGAGAGAAGAAGAGGTGGGAACAAGAAAATGTATAGTCTTAGTTTAGATGTTAAAAAATGTTAAAACATTGCCAAAAAGATGCAACATCTCATTTCAATAAGGATTGCTTCTCCTAAGGTTACTATGCTTTGATAACTGCCATCCAGATGTACAATAAGTTTAAAGGAAGTCTTTATTGCAACATGATTGTGTTAAAATTATAGCTTTTCTAATTTTAAAACTGCTTTTATACTGGAATTGGTTGATGATTCTAGCTTCATTCTATTCAATTGGATATCATATGGAATATTTTAAAAAGTATGTATGACTTTGGTTGTGTATTGATTACAGGGTTCGTACACATTTCCTTACATGAAAATTAAGGACTTTTAAGGACCATCAAAGAAAAAATTAAGGACCTATCAGCAAACAAAAAAATGAATAGAATAAAGCAATTATCCATACAACCGACTTCATGCTTGTAATTTCACTTTAAGAAACTAACAGAAGTGTGTATTATGCACTATTATTAAATTCAACTTAATACTTACCATAAAACAATTTTGAAAATTAAACTAACTCCCTACAAGTTATGAAGTAGATAACATTAAATGAGGAACATAATTTCTTGAAAAACATGTATAAGTGTATTTTACACTAATAACAGTCACTATTTTAGAGATTTACATGATTATTTATTTAACTTATTTGATATTTATTTAAACATAGTCAACTACTATTATAATCACAATGTAAGAATATTTTGCAGATTAAAATAACTGATTTGTAAACATACAATTTATTTCCTTGGTTTTTTGAAAGATACTAGAATAATAAACTGTACAATAAAAGATACAAAACATTTGTGCTTTTTTTAAATCTGAAATCTTTTCCTTTTTAACTCTAATTTATTTATGTCTATTTCTTTTCTTTAACTATTCTTCTAAGTTCATTTGCTTTGATAAACAAATCAATGTTCCTGATGGTCTCAGCTTTATCTGCTAAAGCATCTACTTCTTCATTAATGTCTTTAATGTCCCTTTGAGGAAAGTTTTTTCTTCTGCTTCATATAATCAATTTCTTCTTCAATAATATTTCTTTTCCTCTTTGAATTTTCAGATTTAGTTAAAGATTTTTGTTCTTCTAAATACTGAACTTCTAAATAACGAACTCCACTTCTTGCAGAAGCTGCTGCTGATCTCATTTCTTTATTAATTTCGATATTAAGAACACCTCCAGAAAATTTTATGTAATCAAATACTGTGCGTTGAAAAATGTATGATGAGTCACTTAAATTTTCAATTTCAATTGCTTTATTTACAGAGAAGCCTCTTTCCACAGAGGCCTGTTCATGTGACAAGATAAGAATACTTGTCACAGTGAATACTTGAATAGTGAAAATATACATTTTTTACTATATATATATAATTTATTTCCTAAACAATATAGATTAATTGATTATATTATCTCCTAAGTTTAATTAAAGTAGAATTATTTTAAAAGAGTGAATCCATACTGGTAAGTTATATTTTGAAAGATGTATATATATATATATAAGTCCGAGATCCGGACATCTAATATCTGGAATGATCTAAAATCTGGACCTCAAAGCCACCACCAACCAATTTTTTAGGGCTTTTTTGAAGGAAGGGGTTGCTTTACGCGCGCATTAGATTTTTTCCTCTCATAAAAAATCATAAAAAATGCCAGAAATCCGATTCTTAATCTTAGTTTTTGGTGCTAAATAAAATATCTCATTATTGAAGAAATAATTATTTTAGCATAAATTTGTGTGATTAGTAACTTGACTCCATAGCTGCGTATCTATCTGCTGGCATAATCTCAAACCAACCGAAACATTTGTTAATTTTACACCAACTAATATTTTATATCCTTGATGCCGAAATCGCGAATCATTATTTATTGTATTTTGCTTTCATCACCGCATGTTTATCAACGAATGACAACTTGAGTGATGAATCATGCAGCGATGCCAAATAACAGTAGTATTATACGATTACAGATTTAAATTTAATGCGCTAAAATGTTGACAAGGGGAGATTTAGCAGAAATTTCTTTCCTTATGCTAAAAATAGATTTTGTTAATGATACTCATAGGACAAACGATTATATTTAGTGCTATTTGAATTAAGAATAACTGATTTGTTATTCACATAAAGCCAGAACCAGCTCCAGAGCTCGCATGGCCGCACCAGGCGGCAGAATTTAGCGAAGTTAAACAGAAGTTTTTCATTGCAATGACAATGCCCAATCATCAATCAATTAACGGAGGGCGGAATCTGTAGTATGGTTCTAAATCCAGAAAATACAGCTACCGATAGTGAAGAAAGTAACAGAGAGGTTACTGAACGAGAAAAAATTTTGATTGATTGACAAGTTATTCGGAATTCTTCTCGACACAGCAATTACAGGACTTGAACAATGGAACTTAATAACTGAACAAGAAATTATATGTCTATAGTATTAGTCTAAAGTATTAGCAGAGAAAACAAATCAAACAACTCACATTGAAAGAAATGTTTATTAAAGTAAACATATAAATATTAAGCTCTTTTCTTTGGTAAATTTTGATACCCTTTAAATCATAAATGCTTCATTATTTCATAAATCACGATTTCATATTTTCAATTTTATAATTTCTACGTGCCATCTTAGTAGATTTAAAATGATCTAATATCCGGAAAAATCTCAAATCTAGGATCGCCGAAGTCCCGACGAGTCCAGACCTCGGACTTTGTACTGTATAAATATATATATATATATATATATACGGAATGTATATTTTCAGTTAAACTTCTACCCAATAACTTTAGTAATTCATGAAAGTTAATTTTGCGTCTAGTTAATTCAGGAAAATTAGTTTCAATTAGTTGTTTTCAGCTTTAAAAATATTTAAAAAATTTTTAATTAGTTAGTTATTTTCAACTAATAATTGTATCGCCATTAGCAAAAATTATGCATTACTATCAAAAACATAGGTTTAAAACCAAATACTTAATTGTCTATTGAAGCTTCAAAACGTATTTCCGAACTTCACTTTTTCTCAGCTAGCGTTACCGATTTTGCCCTTGGCGACCTAAAATCGAAATGGAGCCAACAGATTTCCCGCGAAATCGATAACAGACCCTCTGCAGAAATAAACTCATAATCCCGATATCCCATACATATAGTATGTGCAAAAGAGAATAAACTCCGTAGAAGGTGATAAAAAATTAATTTATGGCTTAATTGAAACAAACACAGAAATTAAGCTAAGCAAAACCGTGTAAAAACAAATTGAAATGATAAAACGAAACTTAATTTTCAATGTGAATTTTCAGTGCTGACTCTCCCATTCTAGAAATTTCAATTTGTTTCAGACAAAGACCCACATTTAAGGATTGCCATCCATCAATATCCAGTCTTTGTAGTCAGCTTGATGAAGCCACAGTTTATTGAAAATGCACTTTCCAGGCATCTCGTTCCTATTGGCGTCGGAAGGGTTGTGGCCTTCCAGGTTGGAATTGCTCTAGTTTTTTGGCAAATATTTTCAGAATCTCCCCCCCCTTTTTTTTTTCTTCTCGAGCACCTTCATCATCACTTTCGCCTCTTAAAGAACTTCCAGCTTCACGCTTTCGTCACAGTCTGCCTAAATTTATGGATAACACCTGTTTCGAAAGATTGAAGATTGGGTGAATAGCCAATCAGACACCGATACTTTCGTTCGGGTAGCTAATTTTGTTTTTTTTTTTTTTTTTTTTTAATCGTTTGCAATGCAAATCCGCCAACAGATTAGTTAAGAGCTGTGTAATTTTAATTCCATATTCATGAGAAATCGTAATTCACACTTAGAATGGCAATCATTGGAAAGATAAGAAATGTCAAATGAGCAAAATTAAGGACCGTTTATTCATTTTGGCCAAAATTAAGGACTTTTAAGGACCAAAAATCATTTTTGAAAAAATTAAGGACTTTTAAAGACCGTACGAACCCTGTGATTAGCACAGCATTTATAACTATCTTTCAGATGTTGAGTTTCAGTATTTGTTTTTTCATCAAAGATCATGATCACCACGACATCATGCTGCACCAGAAACTTCCTTTTAGGCTATCATATATTTGGACATCAGTTATCAAAAATACAACCCTGCATGAAGTAACAATAAAAGAAAGTGAACTTGATCAAGCCTTCCATTTGCTTTCTAGCTAACAAAGCAAAGAGGCCATTTACAAAAGATCTGATCTTAAAAATGTTTAAATAAGGTTTTTAGCATGTAAACTAAAAACTACTTATTTTGTTTTAATTCATATCATTTTTATTCTTTTAACTGAACATAAATGAAATGCACTCTGTATAATGAACTTCTAAAAATAAAATCATAAGGTAAGATTCTTTTAAGCAGATACTCATACCTATAATATTAGATTTAACGTATGCACAGTTCAGAGTGCAATCTCTGCAGTTCCTAAATTCTGTCATCCAGGACCTCCCTAAAATTGCTATCTGGTACAGCCAGCTCGCTTGCATAGGTTCTGGTGCTGGCCCTGAATGTAAGTAACCTAAAGCTGTTATATTAAGTTAACCCTATTACATTAGGTTTAATGTATGTAACCTAAAGCTGTTATATTAAGTTAAACCTATTACATTAGGTTTAATGTAAGTAACCTATTAATCAGGCACATTTTCCAGAATATTAAGTGTTGACTTAGTACATTGTTTTTCATTTACTTCAAAATATTTCTTCCACTCAGAAACAAATATATACAAAATCTCAATATAAACAAAAAAAATTCCAAAATTATACTGATAGTGAAAAATATTAACCAAACTTACTAGTAAATGCACGAACATACAGAACATTTGATAATACGGCTTCATGATCAAGATTAAATCTGTCAGCTATAGTCTTCAGCCGATCAGGTCGACTAATAAGAGTTAAGATTTATTGATAAAAAATTATTTAAAAGCACAATAAAACAATCCAAATGCTATTTCTGATAAAACAATTTTAAAAAGAATAATTCTAATGTTAAAATTAACATCAATTAAAAAAAATTAAACGATTTTGTACCAGGTACTTCCTTTTAGGCTGTACTTCCTGCATGTTACTTGAAACTTATTTTATTAAATAAAATAATACAGAAAAGTGTTCATAAAATTAATCAATCAGACTTGTTTGAATGTCAAATGCATTTAAAATTGTATCAATTAGTAAAATTATTAAAAAATAAAAAGAAAGCCTAACTTAATTAACAAATTTTTAACGTGGACGAAACTATATGAAATGATTATACTTGAAGAGGCTGCCTCCTATAACTTATTTTTCAAGAAAAGAGCAATCTCACTCAGGCTATAAAGCATCAAAAGATCGGACTACCCTACTGTTAGGAGGAAATGCACCTGCTGATGTCAAATTGAAGCCCATGCTTGAGTATTATGCTGAAAACCGTCAGGCTTTAAAGGGATGTGCTAACTCCTTACCCATGTTTTGGTGTTCTATATAAGAAAGGTTAAGTTACTAAAGTTTGAAAGTTGATTTAAAGATTATTTTTGTCCCTTCATTAAAAATTACTGTAAAAAGCAAAACATAGCCTTTAAAGCATTATTGTTATTACATAATGTGCCAGATCATCCTACTAGACATTATAATCTTTGAAAGAATGTTATAATTCCTTTTCTTCCTAAAAATATTATCTTTGTGCCACAACCAAGGAATCAACAGATTATTTCAACATTTAACCCCTTTATATACAAATAAAATATGTGTCGATGCATCCAAAGAATACCATTTAATTTGACTCAACTGTGGACACTCACGTGCAAGCTTAGGAACAGAATGTTTTATTTTCAAATTTACAATGCTATATAACATTCAACAAAGTTGATATATAATGTTAATCTATAATAATTAAATAATACTATAAAATTAGTAGATCTGTAAAATATGATACATCTCAAAACATTTTTGAATATGTAATTAAACTAGACATGCTTTACATAGCCAAGTTGTTTCACTTCTTATATTATGTTTTATGCATACATGACATCTCTTTGCAGAAGTGAAGTGAAAATAATATGATAAGCACATGAAAATATATTTTTGCTAATGATTTTTGTGGATTTGATTTTCAAATGGCTTCAATTTCATCACAAGTCATGAAATTCGCACATAATTTAGACTTTGACTCATTGGATGCTGCCAATCATGAAAGGTATTCAAATGAAATTTCAGCCTCTTGATGACGAATCACTCATCAACAGAGAAGAACGGGTTTATGAAGAAGAAAATGTGCAAATAGAAAAACAAACTTCACATTGAACTGCCACTGAAAGAGCATCTGAAGTGATTAAAGAAAATGATCCGAATGAAAACAGGAGCCTTGAAACAAGCCGAATACAGTTAAAAGTCTTTAATCCGGACGTCCATGATCCGGAATGATCTATAATCCGGAATGATCTATAATACAAACTTTCTGCACAAACGTCAATGCATAATACGGTAATGCATGCGCATAATACCTTTATGCTGGCGCATATGCATCTACGTATGCGCATAATACGTTTACGCATGTGCGTTTAATGTATAACAGACGGTATAAGCTAAGCTAAAATTATCTAATTATCTATTTCAGTTAATGTTGCAGATTGCATTGTTACCTAATTTTCTAATTGGATCCGGCTTATTATTTTTTGCAGACTGCTAGAGCAATTTTATAAAAGTAAGCTTGAACTTTCGATTATGTCAAAAAGAATTTCTGATTCTGGAGCTACCAAAGGATCTACAAAGCGAAAGCATGTTCCGATGTCTATCAAACAAAAAGTGGAATTGCTGCAAAAAAATGATAAAGGTACAGTGGTGGCCAAAATTGTGGACACTTTTGGAAATTTTTATGTTTTTGAACTTTGTATGCTTATAGAAAACGTTACGTTTCACAAAATGCAAACTTGTATAGATCATTTTAAAGAGAATTTATTACTGAATTCAATACAAAACACAAAATTCAATTAATTGCAATACAAAAAAGTTAAACGATAATAGTTATCGATATGCATTAGATCGTGATGACTGCAGTCAGTTATCAGTACTTAGTAGGGTACCCTTTATTTTTGATTACAGCTTCACATTGACGTTTCATTGAGCTGACAAGAGTTTTAAGCTCTTCTTTCATTATTACATGATGCCAGGAAACAATTATAGCCTCAATTAGTTCCCTTTTATTTGATGGGCGCCTCACTCGGACAAGAGTTTTCAAACGGTGCCACAAATTTTTGATAGGATTGAGGTCAGGATTGTTTCCTGGCCATGACAACAATTTAATGCCCTTTGTACGAAACCACTCTTTCGATACTTTGGCCATGTGGAAAGGAGCAGAATCCTGCTGAAAAATAAACGAAGTATTGTTGGGAAAGAGATCTCTGATGGAAGGTAGAAGTTTTGGTTCTAGAATAGTGTCAATGTATTTTCTGGCATTCAGTGTCCCATCGATGACATGAAGGCGAACAATACCATCTGCTGACATGCATGACCAAATCATAACACTAACTGGGTTCTTCACAGTTGCTTGAATGCAGTCAGGATGTAGCTCTTCTCCTATTCTACGTCTTACAAATTTTCGCCCATCACTACCGTATAACGATATCTTAGTTTCATCACTCCATATAACTTGTGACCACTGATCATCTGTCCAATTAATGTGTTTCTTTGCCCTCTGTGGCCTTCTTTTTTTTTTTTTTTTTTTTTTTACGTTGCTGAAAATTAAGATAAGGCTTTTTTCGTGGAATTCTACCTATCAGTCCAACCATCTGTTAATCTTCTCCTGATTGTTCTTGAACTGACAGAAACACCAGCATCATTCAGATCACTTCTGATGGCCGCTGATGACATTTTTCTATCTTGGAGACATAGTCTTTTTATTCTTCTGTCATCAATAGATGTGGTGCACCTTTTTCGGCCTTCTCCTTCTTTTTCTTTTATTCAATTTGTCTCCTGATATCGTAAACAAAACTTTCGGGCTCCAGATGCAGTCACTGAACCACCCACCTATCTTGCAATTTCAGCATAGGAAAGACCACTTTCTCGTAACACAATAATATTACATCTCTTTCTAGGTGTCCAATCTACTCTTTTATTTGATGTCATTGCTTCTTGACTAAATATAAAAAATTTCTACAAAAATTCCTACTTGTAATTGCAGTTTATAAGAAACAGGTTCTCCTTCTACAGAACAAAGCAAAATAATGAATTTTTTCTCAAGTACAAACATGATGTCAGCTTCTACATGCAGTTACTAACATTTGGTTGGTTCTCAGAACAAGAACAGTGATTGGCCAGGAAAGCTAGACATTACAAACCACTTCATAACTGTGTTTTTTATTTATATTAAAGTACATATAACTTTTTTTGTATTGCAAATAATTGAATTTTGTGTTTTGTATTGAATTCAGTAATAAATTCTCTTTAAAATGATATACAGTCAAAAGTCGATAATCCGGACTCGTCAGGACTTCGGCGATTCCGGATTATCGATTTTTCCGGATTATAGATCATCAGTTTAAATCTGGTAAAATGGCATGCAGAAATTATAAAATTAAAAATATGAAACCGTAATTTACGAAATAAAGAACAATTATGATCTAAAGGGTATCAAAATTTACAAAAAAAAAAAAAAAAAAAAGCTTAATATTTATTTGTTTACTTTATAAGACATTTCTTTCAATGTAAGTTGTTTAAGTTGCTTCGTTTTTTATGTGATAATACATTCTCTTTAATTCTATAAACAGATATAATTTCTTGTTCACTTACAAAGTTCCGCTGTTCAAGTCCTATAATTGCTGTGTCCAGAATACGGACTAATTTGTCAATCGAAATTTTTTGTTTTCAATAACCTCTGTCACTTTCTTCGCTATCGGAAGCGAATTATAATGACGAAGCATTTGATTTAAATCATATCAAAGACGGAGTACATCGAGATGAAATACTACATTGAGTAAGCAATTATAAGCCAAATAAAATACAAACATCTGCCCTTAAGATAAGGATAGTGTTGACAGATCAACTTCCAATTCATTGCACGCCGCCGCGGCGTTAAAGATAAACAAACATTAAAGTTTAGATAAACAAAGGATATGCCTTTATCCATTTTTTGCAGCAATTCCACTTTTTGTTTAATGGACTCCGAAAGATACTTTCGCTTTGTATATCCTTTACATATTAGTAAATATATATCGGAAATTCTATTTGACATAATCGAAAGTTCAAGCTTACTTTTATAAAATTGCTCTAACAGTTTGCAAAAAATAATAATCCAGATCCAATTCGAAGATTAAGGAACAACGCAATCTGCAACATTAACTGAAATAGATAATTAGATAATTTTAGCTTAGCTGATCCCGTCCGTTATACATTAAACGCGCTTTCGTAAACGTATTTTGCGCACACGCAAATTCGCATCGGTAAAGGTCGCATGCGTCAACGCGACGCATGCGCAGAAAGTTTGTAGCTTTGAGGTCCGGATTATAGATCATTCCGGATTATGGGTGTCCCAATTAACGACTTTTGACTGTATACAAGTTTGCATTTTGCGAAACATAACATTTTCTATAAGCATACAAATTTCAAAAACATAAAAATTTCCTAAAGTGTCCACAATTTTGGCCACCACTGTATATCCTTTGATTCTATAATCATTCCGAAATATGTTTATCAATTTCACGCTGCTCTGCGGGAGGGGGGGGGGACAACGTGGCGCGCAATGAATTGGAAATTGATCTGTCAGCACTATCCTTATCTTCAGGGCAGATGTTTTTATTTTATTCGGCTTATAATTCCTTTCTAAATATAGTATTTCATCTCAATGTTCTCGATGATCATACTTGTTCTTTATTTCATAAATTACGATTTTATATTTTTAATTTTATAATTTCT